GCTCGTATGACTTGACAGTATGGCAGGTGGTGTGAGGAAGTGAGTAGGTTCTTCACGTGAACCATACGTGACGCGACACTGGCTTAGACGCGTAGAACCAAGGACTTTAACGCCGAATCCATAATGACTATATGGAAGTCAACTTTCATAGCTCGCGCCGCTTCAAATGATTCTTTCATGGGAAGCTGCTACCAACAAAGCACCCTTTTACTTGATAGGTAATAATATAGGTGAATAGATGGGCTCGCCGCCACCACGCTTGGGCGTCAATGCATAATTTACTTTATTTCGGCAACGCTCGTCCACGATCCACGATGAATGTGCACAAAAATTCTAAAATCCTATAGCCTCCATACCATCCCTTGTTGGGATCTCACCAATATTGGTCGAACTGTTCCAAGGTTGATAGTTGGAAGTTTTTATGGAATGGCCCGATGTTTCAACCTTTTCGTCTTCTTCAGTGGCCTGAAGATAGCTCGAAGCTTTTTGATTTTGTAAGATACTCCGCCAAGCACCTCTTCTCTATAGCGCTTCCGAACTCTCGTTAAGAAACAGCTCGGATCAGGGTGAATAACGGTCGAGGATTTCCTCGACCATAGCTCTCTACCATGCGAGAGTAGTGCCGAGAGTGAACATCCGCGCGGAGAGCACAGACGGCACGCGCATGGTGAATGTCCGCGCGAGAGATCGTCTCTGATCGGGCAGAGAATCCTCGACGTGCCGTTGAGGAATCCTCAAGCGATATTCACCCTGGCTCGGAATCACCCAACACGATAGAGAATTTAGCTCATGCCCTGTCAGTAATACTATGGACCTCAGCCGGGCAGCTTACAAAATCAAAAAGCTTCGCGCAATCTTCAGGGCTCTGAAGACGAAAAAGGTCGAAACGTCGGGCCATCCAATAAAAGGTTCCAACTCTTCACCTCGCTTGGCACAGAGGAATTAAACAGATCTCGAAGCTCATTACCAAAGGATCGGACCCTCCTCGTTTCGCGGCAGGCACCAACAGAATGCCATCAGCCTCTGTTGCTGTTGAACCAACTGGAATAAGGGCTAACCCATGATTCGGACCTACTTGGAAGATAGTTCCACGAGTTTTCCGCCTCAAAAGCTCAGGATTCTATACAAAAGGTATACGTAAGCTACACGCAGTAAGCCAATTAGTGTCGATAACGGTGGGGCATATACTACTATAATAGCTAATCGCGGATTACTCTAATCGTAAAAAAAAATAAAAAAATAGGGAAATGTGCAAAGACGTTTCCGACAACGTAACACAAGCAAAAGTAAAATAAATTCGGTGAGATGATGCTAATTGAGAGGCTGCGTGAATAGCTCCAAACCCGAATTTTCCCCACCCGTTCACCCAGCAGGGTCGAAACCAATATTTTGCTGCGCAGTTCTCTTAATTAATCAACATTCTGTTGCCGTAACGTCGGGTTTCATTTTACAGTTGCATACGTCATGGTAATTCCAAGATGTGCCAGTCTAAATATGGCGTAGGCTTTTTAATGGACACATTCCAAATCAAGTGTTCAAAGTTCGAAAGTTCCTTAAGTTCAAAACTTCACGTAACTATCGATACCTTCTTTGAACTACAACATAGAAACGGTCCTCTATAGGGGATTATGCGCCGGCATCCAAGGTGCAAGTGGGGACTTAGCAAAAATTCTACATTCCAGTTCTCGCTGAGCTTTTCCGAAATGAGGCACACTCACTGCTGTCTGTACCCTTTCTTCCAACAATCATTCTTTCTAAACTACACATGATTTGTAGTCGCAAACCACAGAGCTGATCAATCTGCCTAAAATGGAGAATATATGGAAACCAATGAATTTAACTCTGGGCGTCGACTTCGGCACTTTGAAGTATTTGGAATAATTAGTGGGCATCTGCATCAGCTTCGAGGAGGGTCATCCGTCACGTTGGACCAATTTGAAAATTTTCGACCCCTTCCGTTGAACGGGCCTCTATACGACCCCCCGCAAACACTTGTCATAAACCGTAAACTTGGATTTGTGTGCGTTTGCGTACTACTTCATACTACTACTTCCTGCACCAGGGGCTGGGTGCAGCAAGGCCCTCGTACGATGGGAGGGGTACCTTTCGTTGGCGCGCACAATCTCCCGGTCCAACGCGGATGGACCGAGGCGGACTACTAATTTCCAATGAGTGTAATTCTGTTCAACTTCAATATTTTCAAAACGCCAAGTAGATTGTAATCTACGAGACTGCTAGTTTCAGAAAACTACCACGTTTGTGCAGTATTCCAGAACTACTTTTGTTATGGGGTAGAGAATTAAGAATTCACAGAAATGCGCACTTCTTCATTTGAAAGGTTGTAATTTCTTCAAATAAGAAAGTGTGAGAAGTGGTAAGAAAATTTTGAACTCTAGATTGTTTTTTTCTTGAAAGTGCTCCAGCTTTTGTCAGGTTTCACTTCTTCACTTCTTCAAAAAATAGCCCCGTTGGACAGCTTTTTGTGCACATCCGGATTTTTTTTGGATTTGAATTACTGTAAGTTTCGTCATATTCGAATTTGCAATTTTTGCAATTCTTCACCCCCTGGAATAAGTTAGAGGGTTGTAGCTTCCTAACGAACACTTGAAGTCCTTTCAAAATGATGGAGTCAAACATTTTGGAGAATTCGCGGACCTATTTTTGGCAGAGCGCTGGTTTTTAGTTTTGAACTGTTATAACTTTCTTCAGATTGAACTTTTTGCAATTCTTGTCCCCTGAAAGAAACTAGAAGGTTAGAGCTTTTAGTGAATACTTGATCTCGTTTCCAAAATGACCTTTCAAAAAATCGTCCCGTTGGACCGTTTTTTTTTCATGAATTTTCGGAGCTACTCTCCTGAAAACACGAGTTTTCAACACTCAAACACTGACAGCTCTCTTCAAACTCAATTTTATGGGGAATAATGATACCATGACATCGCACAAGCTTTGTGCTTCATAACAGATACTAAACCTTTTCAGGAAGTCGCCGACAGGCAAATATTTTTTTCCAAACTTTTCTTGTAAGCCTTTAGCAGTCAATCTACCCAAGTGGTCACTCTTTTACTAACTTAGGTCCAGTTTGAAGACATTGGTTCTCCTCGAGAGCATATTTGTGTACGTGAACAGTCAAATATGGACACTTCTGCAGTAGACTCTTCTGCTCTGAGGTGCGCCATGCACTCGTTTGTGGTTAATAGTTGGAGAAGCACTCAAAAGTTATGCCTCTCACCTATGTATTGCGACGTTGACCTTTTCGGTCGGCCAAATACGACCCCCTCGTTGGGCTTTTTCCGAACGGAAAGTTGACCCTGGCTTCGAGTACACCACTCCTTTCTGGCCAGTTTCCCCAGTTTTTCTTTTTTTTTTGCAAGCGATTTCTGTGATGTGCATCTCTAATTTGACATGCTGTTGCCCGGGTAAAGTTCCACTTCTAGTAACTCACTGCCCATGGGAGTGCAGTACTCACATCCACCTCGAAATGATAGGAATTTCGACCTATGTACATAACCTTGTACTGTAACCTCGTGTCTTCAAAGATTGAACTACATGATTGACACATGAAGATATCTTTTTGCTTGTGTTATTGAACGGTCCACTACTTCTATCTGTCCATTCTGTATCTCCTGCACCGGCACTTCTAGCGGTCTTTCTGGTGGGAGCTATTACCACTCTTATTTACTTTCTAACTTGCCCTTCCCACTATAAACTAAATGGCTTCAGTGCGAATATAGACGAATAGGCTTGACAGCTTCGAGTAGTGATTTTTACAAAGATGACGTTGTAAAATCAAGGGATAGTGAGTTATGGGTAAGTTATGGGTAACTTGCCGCAGACGGAAATGGAATCCGCACCGTTTTCCGTTTTGCTCAGAGGCAGGAGTGACGACTGAGCCAGTGTTAACGAAACGATCCGCTTCCTGCCATGTAAAAATTAGTAAGTCTTCAGGGATAAGTAGCATTTAGTCCTAAGTTGTTAATTACCACAATGTCAAGCGGCCATTTTCAACCAGGCTTGCCATACACACCTTTCCCTGCAATCACCGAATGTTAAGGTTTCAATGAATCTCAATCGGATATATGCCGACCGACTTCGCCGTCTCAGGTGCAGTTTGGGCGGCTACTAGCCTTGGCCGCGGGGTCGCCAACCGGGGGAATGAGGTCAATCGGCGTTCAACGCGTCCGCTACGACATATCAAAAACGTTTTTGTTGCATTTATTTCGTCTGGAATTCTTTGACGACATTTCATGGGATCGATGTCTCCCTCCATCCTCCGTCGACCGCTTCATTTCTCATTCATCCTCAAACCGGCGCCTAATTCCCGCCGTTCGTGGCGATCCTGTCTCAACAAGCGCATTTGTCGCTCGTTTTCCAATAAAAGTCACCATTTACCATGGAATATGCTTGTCGCCATGTAGTGAATGCATGGATGGATATCCATGTAGATGTGTTCATTTTGACGGCTATGTTATGAGCAGCGTTTGGCGTTCGTCGGAGATCGTAATCGGAATGAGTATTCCGCTTCGTTAGCACACACCATTGGAAGTGGCCGTCACTGTCATTGCTCCAACTGATATGCAGGAATCTGTTTTCCTTTACAGTCATACATTCATCCTGTTTTGTCAGAAAGACCAGGGATCTTGGCCAACTGTTCCCAATTCTCTTCGTGAAGATAGAGAACTCGGGCATGATGTCAAGTGCTATGATATCTATCCCTTGTTGTACCGCGGTCCAATGACTCAACCCCGAAATTTGGCCCTCGTTCAAGAGCGAGCGTTCTCGTTGAATCCTTGACTATCTGCTGGCTTTTGCTGTACTCGTGTACTTCGAATGAATTGCTCGACCTCCACTGTCGATTCCGCCGCACCGCATGCATTTCACTCTCACCTCCTTGGGATCTGGACATAGCGTAGTGTGTGTCGTCGCGAATTTGGCCCACTTCGGCTATTGATTACGGCCCTTTCACTGCCTATCCAAGGGATAGGCGGCCAAATCATTTCGGAATGACGTCACCGATCTATTCTATTATACTTCGTCATCATCTGGTTGCGGGAGCTGTCCCGTGGTCTTCTTCCTATGCGGAAGGAGATATCCTCATCGCACTGTACGATCGTCGGCCCTTTTCTTCTTGTATTGCCTGGCAGCCAATTTCCTTCCTGTAAAGAGTTGAAATATATTCTTTGATTGAAAATTTTTAACATTCAAAATCGTTCGTACTGATCACATTGATCTCTTCAGAATAGGCATCTTCGATCGTTTTGCAACATTTCCGACTGGTACACTGATAACAAAGGCTGAAATGAGTTGATAAGCAGCTTTATTTGAAAAAAAATTCACGCCTTCGCTATAGAAACTTTGGAAGGTTGGGAGGCTTCGGTTTTGCAAAGAACTCTATTAGATTGAGCTCAGTAGGTTAAGTTAGTAGCTCTGATAACTGCGACTAGTGCAGTTGGCTGGTCCACTTGAGAACCCTTCGGCCATAGTTGACCAAACATCGAAAGACTTTTGCAGTACATCGGCGAAGCTCTTTCGTTGACTAATTCAATGCCATTTTTGTAGCGTTCACACACACCCGTCTGTAAATGGCTTCATGGCTTTGGCTGCTTTCTGTTTGTGAGGCAATGATGTCAATGCTTTCCGTAAGGGGTACACTTCAATAAGTTAACTATTCACTTCTCTTACTCTCACACATCGGCGGACTTCCTTATTGCCGACTTGATTCAACTTTTCGCCTGAGTTATTACGTATTTGACTGCCGCCCTACGTTAACCTTTAATGGCATATTTCGGCAGTCTATGTAAAAAATGCTTGAATAGGTCTGCGATTTGTGAGCTTTTGGAGTTGCTACTACTTAACATTACGTTTGTAATGATCAATTGGCAGCGCTTTTGAGGCCGGGAGTGGCGCCTATTGGCCCCGACCTTCCACAAGGAAGTAGGAGTACTAACAAGTGCTGTCGCCATCAGGCACATAACCTTGACCGATTTAAGTGTAGGCTAGCCGAGCCTTTTATCGGTCAATTCGTACAAGATTTATCTGAGAAGGTAAAACGCTGACTTGTAATTCGCCTTGCCTAGAGTCCATGTGGGTCCAGCACCTATTCAATATCGTCATAACCCTTAATGGATTCTGAATGTGTGGCCCACAACAACGGAGCTGCGCTTTATCCTTTATTTTCTGTGAACAAAAAGATTCACCACTTAATCCCTGCAGGTGGGGCGCAACAGCAAACAGAAACCTTTTCAGGTGGATTTGTAATCCTGTTACTTTCGTGTTTGACATTTGCTTCTTTTTCTGTCGGAATTCCTTATTGGTGTAGTCCCTTACGGGACGTCTGTCAGGAAATGAAATATCAGGAACAGTGGAGGGAATACCACCTTCACTAGGAATCGAACAGAACGTCGACGGGATTGTAATTGGTCCCCGATAAGTGATGACATCAACGACACAGAATTACATTTCTTGTTCATTTGGAATGTACTGGCACTGCTGCCCAAGGTAGCTTTTGAGGTTGCAACAAAATCGTGTTTTCGCACTCCTTCGTGTCCACGCTTAGTCAACGTAGTTGAAGAACCAAAGAAATGCCGCCCAATTTCTTCTAAGTTTCCAAGCTTCGGATTTTGCAGTTTTTTCACACTTGCGCTTTTTCCTCCCCTTTGCAAATTCCGCCAAGGCCGTCGACAGAACTTTCCAGGTGGATTTGTAATCCTGTTACTTTCGTGTTTGACATTTACTTCTTTTTCTGTCGGAATTCCTTATTGGTGTAATCCCTTACGCGACGTCTGTCAGGAAATGAAATATCAGGAACAGTGCAGGGAATACCACTTTCACTAGGAATCGAACAGAACGTCGACGGGATTGTAATTGGTCCCCGATAAGTGATGACATCAACGACACAGAATTACATTTCTTGTTCATTTGGAATGTACTGGCACTGCTGCCCAAGGTAGCTTTTGAGGTTGCAACAAAATCGTGTTTTCGCACTCCTTCGTGTCCACGCTTAGTCAACGTAGTTGAAGAACCAAAGAAATGCCGCCCAATTTCTTCTAAGTTTCCAAGCTTCGGATTTTGCAGTTTTTTCACACTTGCGCTTTTTCCTCCCCTTTGCAAATTCCGCCAGCCTTTGTCTAAGGCCCAAGAAAAAAAAAGCGGCTTCAGCAACTTTGCGACTTGGAGGTAAATGTTCATATTCGAAAGAGTGATTATGGTGGATTCTAGGAGATAATGGGAGGATGTGCTAAGAGGTGCCAGAGGCAAAAACAGTAAAAAGCCCGGACACCCAAAAGCGGATCCCTTTGTTTTCCGATGATTCGACTAGAGATGAGTCAGCTACTACGGAAAAGGTTGTTTGGACGGGTTAACCACGACAGCCGACATCATTCCAACAAAAATCGTGCTTTGTTTGACGCAACGCATTGCCTGGCTGAAGAAAAAGATTGAGTCCCCTCGTGCAGTGCTCATAAAGAATGAGACGCAAAGAGTGCTGCTACTGGCTTCACACTGATGGGCGGAGCGGTTTCGTTGTTACAGTTTTTAGGTTTTAGACCTTACCGCACTGCAGCTATGTAGCGTTTGGCGCTAAATTGCCACATCTTCATTCATTTGACGCTTGAATATTGCTTCCGTGAAACAAATATGCGTCCTTGGTGTGCACCTACCGTACCGTAATAACCGAGTTACAGAAAGTCGTCGTATATCTATAGTGAGGACCCTGAACAGACCGCCGTTACTATTTCTGCATTAAAGGAATCCTCAACGGAAAATTCTTGCATTCTTTCTCAACATGAATGTGTCAGTTGTGATCACTGGAAACAGCACACAAAGTTTCACGCATGAAGATTCGGTTTCCGAAGAGAAACAAACGTACAAAAACTACACTCTATGGACAATCGAAGGTAAGGGGCGGAGCCAAAGGCGAGGCATGGAAAGAAGTTGGCCTTTGGCCGGCTACGTATCAGGCGACGCAATGAAAGAATCGGGTTAAAGCGCGCGATTTCGGAGAGTAGAGACAAATCGATCGATAGAATAGGATGGAGTAGAAGTGTAAGATGTGAATGCAATAAGTCAAAGGCCAGAAAGAGTTTCTAGTGAAGGCACTCCAAGAACCAAGTGGAAGCATCCCCGTCGCCAGCATTTGTGACAGATGTCCGGCGGTACTTTGAACGCGTAGCAGCCCTTTCGGTTTTTCGAATTTTTTACCAAAACAAATGCAATTTTTCTGTTCTTTTCATTCTTATCGTGGATATGAGTCTCAAGCCAGTGATTTATGGCTGAAATAGAATCATGATTTTTCCGTGAAGGATTCCTTTGAACGAAGTGTGAGGAATGCCGGGATTTCATGCTACGTTTCACTCTTGCAGTCTGTGACCGTTTTGAACTGAAAGTTGAAAAGTTGCAGTAAATTAGTTAAAGTAAAGTTAAAGTTAATTATGGCAACGAAAAGGTGATGGCACGACCAGTGGAAGCTATCAGATTCACTTTTAGGTTTATCTTACTTGTCGGTCCATGTAAGAAGTTGCGTTATTGTCTTCTAGAGATACCGTTTCTTGGGCGGGAATATCTCATTAAATTTTTTCTGAAATGCCATCTTTTGTACTGTAAGTCAATTAGAGCCAATTAGAGCTGCTTAGCGTTATTCTTTATTCTCGCCTTTTCCAGTCCCTTTTCTTGTCCGCAACGCCATGATGGTGGCTAGCTGGTCAGTCAAAAAAGTCACACGGCTGGAGATCTATCCAGCCAAGCACATCAGGAAGCAGGATTGCTACGCAACATGACGAGCAGACTGTTCTCGGCAATACGGCGCGCCTGTGAAGCCATCCCGCCGCCAATGATTTCTTCTACTAAATGTCGTCTACGCAACCTACTAGCTCGACTCGCTTGTTTTTTTTTTGAATTTGACTACAAGATTAATCTGCTATTTTTTTCAGGGCCATGCCCTCATTACTGTCTGAATATGGCAAAAGGTTCGAGGACTGGATGGTGGTGATGTTCTACCAATACGGCCTGGTATTAGGAAAACATCCTTTTTGGTTCCTATGGGGTCCATTAATTTTCACCGCATGCTGCACTCCGGGTCTATTTTTTCTGAAAATCAATCTAGATCTGTACAAACTTTTTGTGCCAACAGGATGCGCCAGTAAGTATTATTAAGATAGTTTAAAGTAACTAGTTCTGATTGATTGAACGATTTTGAAGGTCCGCTACGAGTTTGAACGAGGACAAGAATTCAACAGGATGCCGTCAGGTAACCTGTCGCTGGAGCCAGGAGCACTAAGGAAGCGCCACCATCACAGGCGGCCACGTGACGATGGTTTCGTCTATGAAGACGTGGAAATGGAACGTCTTCGTCGTGATCTTGAAATGATGATGGCCGCTCAACCGACAGACGAGCTGAACATCACTCGATTTCGACGCGATGCAAAAATGGATCCTCACAAGGAAGAAGTGACGAAAAAACCGCACGCACATAAGTCGAACGGTATTCTTTGCTTCTCTTTCGTTAATCTTGATTTTTGAGTAGTCTCACTCACTTCTTCGTTACAGCCAAAATTTATCAGAGGTTCTGATTGTGAGTCTTGGGTGCACTATCTGGTATCTGTTCCCGTCGCGTTCGACGCAAATTACTCACATGTCGCGTGCGGCAATGCGTGGCGAACAGGGTTACAAGGCTTCTGTCAACCAGGGGGTGAGAGTGTAGAAGGAAAAGCAGACGTTCTTTGTGGTAGTGGGACTAAGCCTTTTGAAGGAGGTAAAGAAAGCGGAGATTCTGTGATAGTGCGCTTGTGTGAGAGCTCCCAGACAGCACAACAAAACGCTGAATTGCCTAGCCTCACGGTTGACAGATGTCCGGAGACCGGCGAACATTACGAAGCAGTCGAACTGAGTGAAAACTTTATTCTAAAAGACCGTATAAGTCTGTACTACATATTAATATATAAAGCAGTTTATTGCGTGGTGGCAACAGATTCGGTTGTGCCTTCCAAGATCAGCTTTTCATGATGTGCGCGGCAATTAGCCAGTTTTGAACTTCTTTTGCATGGTAAGAAAGGCCCTTTGATGGAGCGGTCGTATCGTACTGTAGGAGCTTTTTGTTGCCACGTGCGTTTGAATTTCAAGAAATCGGGTTCGAAGCCCTTTTAAAGGACGAGGAACTTGAGGATCGAGAACAGCAAGATTCAGAAAAATGGACGATTATTTCAATTTCAAGAAGCTAAAGTTCATGGTGCTGACTTAGATGGGAGGGGACCACACGGCGGGCGGCGCTCTGTTCTTCTGTTCCTCTGAGGCTTAGTCTGCATTGTACCACTGTATTTCGGGATTGCCACGGTGCGGCGGAACAGTATATCCCTTATGGCTAAGCCTTAGAAGAACAGCCGAACAGAGCGCCGCGCCGCGCCGCCGCCTGCCCCCCCCCCACAACTAAGTCAGCACCAAGTTCATAAGAAGTAGTTATAGTTAAGCAATAGTCTTTTTCCATGCAATGACTTCATAATAGTAAACGGCTTGATGGACCACCACTCAGTGGCAATCGATTTTTCCGACGCGCTGCGTCGCGAGATCGATTTGCTAGCTGGTAGACTTCTTAAATGCTCATTGGGGTCTATTCTGGTTAGAGATTGAACATGGTGCAGTTTTTCCAGAAAGCTACGGTAACTCCGAGCCAGGGGGAGTGTAGCCAGTCTAGGGGTGGGGGTGAGGGCAGTCACTTGACATGCGTGAAAGCTGGAATGTTCGAGTTCACACTAGTTCGCCGAGAAAGTGCATCATGATGCCCCCTAACTGGAATATAGCCTCTCATTATTTTCAGAATTTAATTATGCTTCGAATTCCAGCGCCGATGAAGAATGACATACTGCGATTTTATGTGGTACATAAGAACTTTGAAAATCTACTCCAGTCGAAATATCTGGGGCCTTTGTACGACTACACGAATAAAATGATGAAAGTAACAGCCGAATATAATGGCGAACAGTACTATTTGGAGGATTTCTGCAAAAAGGATGCTGACCAAGTGGTAAGAAAACGCGTCAAAGAAATGTAGAATTAAAAAGAAGAGGTGTAAGCGAAGAGGTTTCCTCAATAAGCACTTCATTTCAGGAGTGTGACAACCTGTTGAATGTCTGGATCAAACACGCAGATGTACTATTCAAAGATGGCAAAGTGAAAACTAATCCGAACCTTCAGCTTTCTTACCCCGTACTCTACCTATTCAATAGGCCAAAGGATATTGGAAACGTACGAGATATCAGCTGATTATCGAGTCTTCTAATTGTAAATGGAATTTGGAAACGTCACATTCGTTTTTTAAGGTCATTTATGGCGTCGACGTTAAGGGAGAGAAAAACGAGATCCAGGGCGCTAGAGTGCTCACTCTCCATTGGTTTGTCCGGATTAGCGACCAGTTTCCTTTTTTCGTTGTCCATATCGAGCGTTCTGTAGCGCGCAATTATCAATCGATTGGTATATTGTGTGTTCAGGTTTGTACAATATCCCGGATCACCGGAAAACAATGCAGCCTATTACGCGTACAGAGAGGCGCTCATGGACTTTTGGCACAAAGTCATGGAGGAAACGGAACTGGAGTTTATTCCACATAAGTAGGTGAAAATTACGATAGAATACTTAACTGCGAAAGTAGTTTTGAAGGTGATTGCTGGATTTGATCTCAAGACCCCTTCTGTAACCGTTAGAAGATGGCTCTTACTTGCCGCCGTAGCTGGCTTAGGTGGGCCGAGTCCCGTGGCTTTACTTCTTAACATCTCAAATAATCGGATCGGGTTTTTTTTATTTATGAATCCAATTGTTCGTGGAAAGCTCGGAGCACATTCTCGAAGAGCTTCGCATTTTCTCGACTTGACGAAACCTGAGCTACGGTTTTTTTTACGTTTTTTAACGCAGCAATCAATTAGAGGCCAGGGGCCAAAAACATCGCCGTGACACACGTTCCCAAAAGCATGGATGTTCCAGGGGTACAATTATTCGAATTTCAAACTCTAACTCTGAATGAGCTAACTTTTCGGAATACTCTTAAGACTCTACAAGATCACTGTCAAAGTACTGTTTCAGTGAAAAGGCTATGGATGACGAGATGATGAAAATCATTGAAACGACAGTACCGTTCGCTGTACCAGCCACCATTATGCTCATGCTGTTCGTGGTGTTCTCCAACTGGAGTACTAAAAAATACATGTGCGTATTTCGTATTTCATGTCATTTCACAGATGAACTGTTCTATAATTATTCGAACATTTTAGGTCGAAACCACTTGAGATGTATCTGGGTGTATGGTCCGTAATTCTGGCTTTGATATGTACATTCGGTATATTCTTCTTTCTGGGTATCGCGTTCAATCCTGTGACGTCCACTATGCCTTTTCTGGTCTTGGCCGTTGGTGAGTATTCAATAATTTCTTACATAAGGCCACATTCCGCATACGATTTGAGCATGACCGGTTACGCTCTCCGTCTTCCGATTTTCGAAGGATTGCGAACACCAGGTTGCCGGATTTCTTCCTCTAGCCTGTAATGTTCACGTCCATTTCGAAAGTTCTCCAATCCGATTATTAAGTTCATAATCTGAACGAATTCCTGAAAACAAGGTCAGTGGGTATCTTCGGATTTTACATATCAACTGTACGTCGCGAGGACAGAATTTGGAACCCCGGAAAATTTCTAGACGTGGATTCCTCCGTTTTTCTGCCTGCTCAATATCAAAGGCAAAAGCAAGGGCGATATGATCCTAGTATCAGTTGTTTTCACTAACATTTGTGCGAACTGATGTGTTACTGCGCTTGCAACTCACAGTGGTGATGTCAAGTGTAGCGCTAGCAATGGAAAAACGAGAGGAAATCGTCGACGAGACCTAAAAATTGAACCCTTTCTCCAGTAAAACCGATGCAAATAGCCCTGATTTGTGAGAGGGATCAATCGTACTGGGCGGGCTGCATCTTAGGGCCTTAGCGCCTCAGGCTTATCGAATGATCTCAAAAAGTGATGCACGTGCCTTCCACTTGCGTGCCGCTGCACTTTTATCACGGAAAAGCTCAAATTCGGCCAGAAATCCTGGACCTCACCTTTAGAGCGGGGTGAGGATGTTCAAAAAAGTTACTCGTCTTTGGCTTTTGGCAAAATTTAGACATTAAATGTTACTTTAGGGTTGTAGTGTCACTCAATTAAGATTAGCCAATGACTGACTAGTGATGAATTCGGTTTTCACGTCGGAGTGTTAATCCATCTGGAAGTAACAACACCGCTACATCACGCCACAGTCGCCCTTAAACCTTAAAAAATTAATCTCAAATCTGTGCTTCCATCTTTGTGGGTTGTGCACGAGGATGAGGTTTTATAATAGTTAATCATTTCTTTACTTCTGTTTTCGCAGTAGGCGCTCACATTTCGCCGGCGGAGTGAGTAGGGCGTACAGACTAATAAAGCAATTTTGTAGGCCTAACATAGTTTTACACGAAAAAACTGGCAAAATAATAACAACGCCCATTTTTTTCTGTGGGAGGAAAGGGGGGGGGAGAGATTCACGTATCCACAGAAATGGAGAGCTGTGGTCCAACATGCGCACCACAGTAGCACTCAGCGCCACTCTGCGGTAATTTGTGAGACCACAATGCAAAATCAGTATGAGATACCCTACCAATTCCGCTCAAAACTACCTTTGAAATTACTTAGGCGACCACATTTTACGCCCTACTCACTCCGCCGGATTCAGTATCCTTGCTAACGCCTGATGCACCGTATTTTGTCAAATTGCATACCGCCAGTATGCATGCGCTATGGTCTGTTTCATCAGTAACTAATAGTCTACCAACACTTTTTATCAGTCTTGGAATCTACGGTCCCTTTCTCTGCGTTATAAAAACTGTAATGGCAGCATCATAATTTGGGACAATGCAAAACAATTCATCAGAACGGTTGTTTGGGAAATGGAACGTTGACGACATTTTCAGGCATTGATGACGATTTCTTGATGTTGGCTGCGTGGCGAGAACTGGACAGGCGCATCCCGCTTCACCAAAAGGTGGCATTAGTGATGGCCGACGCTGGAGCATCAATTACTGTAACTTCCTTCACCAACTTCTTCTGCTTTGGTAGGTATCTCAACAAAATTTACAGTTCTGTACCAGTCTGAAAATCTGGATGTTTTATCGGGCATCGTTATAAATCACAGCTGACCATTTCAGCTCTTGGGTACTACATGTGTTCCACACCAGCTGTCGCTGATTTCTGCTTGATTACTGCTTGGGCTGTTCTGATTGACTATGTAATGCAGGTGGGTTACTTTCCAAATTAAATGTGTTTAATTCCGCGTGAGACACCGTGGGTAAGTGAACAGTGTTACGTTTGACTGTGTATAGTTCGATGGCGTTAGAGCCACTGTAAGCCAAAGGCGAGAATCGGGTACTAGGCCCGAAATTAGGAGAGGTGGTGAGAAATGGCCTAACAACGAAGGACTAGCAAGAACAGCAAAATCAACACGTTTGCGGCCAGGTAATTTTTCGCGTGTCCACCCCGTGGGACCGCGCCTTTTGGTGACTCTGAAGAATGCCTCTCTGTGTTGAGAACCTTCATAGCAAATGTCTTGAAACTTGTTGCACTTATTTCAAGTCATTCTTCACAAGCTTATCCGATTGCTGCCAAAGCGAGCGAATCCTGCCGTTTGTCTCAGCGAGGATTCAGCAGCACGCTAGACAAAAATTCTATTCCCCACTCCAGAATTCGTTTTGTGAAAAGCTGTCTCAGTACAGTAGCTAACAGCAAGCACTGAACCAGTGTACACCAACCTGTGTATATTCAAAAATAACAAGCCTTACTTCAGAGGATCACTTCAAAATTTCCTTGAGTGAAACACGCACTGAGAAAGATGCACGGATCATAACTCCTAGGAAAACTACAACGTCCTTCCTGATTGGAATGTTCGTGATTAATCAACTTGGAACCTGCAGAAAAGAGTTCCCCTATGCACCCCTGCTTACATCTAGCCGTACTATAGGCAAAAAGGTGCGCTTCCCTCACAGAGCTGCAACAATGTCAGTGGGTTTACACTCTCCTTTACCCACTTAGTCTCTAGAATGGAATATCTACACGAGAAAATTGGTATCGGTACTCGAAAGGTCTTAACACAAAGAAGCAGAAGAGTGCACAGAAGCGGGAGTTTACATATCCGCTCATCATGTCCATTGGGTGCTCGGCCACAACGGAAAGGAGGGAGTACCAGCGCTCATGACTGTATACGTCTCAGCCTTGATCAACCTCAGTACTACTATATACCCCTACTATATGTCCTCTCCAGCACATGAGCACTTTTTTAGTAGCTTGGCATCAATATGAGGTTGTCGTAGAAGTCTCCTAAAGGCTCTCTTCTTGTAGTGCGGAACCCATAAAACGCATGAGACAAAAACTTGAGGCCAATACTTGCAGGATTGGATGGCTGTAGCACTACGACGTAGCTGCGCTTGCTAAGCTCCCTAGATTCAAGTTTACCCTTTGAAGACAATGTGAACTCGTGTAAAAGGCTCGCGGGACCACGCCTCTTTTTGACGCGCCCAATTTGGCAAACTTAACGAGGGGAGTCTTTCAGGGCAAGCCACGCTTTTTCAAAACGGTTGCATATTGTAGGGACGCATGTAGGGAACACAAAACCATGTTTCATTTTCGCTGAACGGTTTTAGCAGTACCAAAAAAGAAGCATAAGGTACTGTTAATGGTTCGATCCCCCGTGGCGACTAAATTTTGCATTTGGGTTGGCGCCTACGGTTGGTGCCAAATCGCGCTAAATGTCAAAATCAGATGTCAATTCATCGTCAGGACCATTTTGAAGCCAACAAGTGGCCGCCAACCTTGATTGCAAAATTTAGTCGCCGCGGGGGATCGAACCATCAAGGGTATCATTCACCACTTTTTTGATACTACTAAAACCGTTCAGCGAAAACGAAACATGGTTTTGTGGTCCATACATGCGTCCCTACAATATGCAAGAAACCGTTTCCAAAAAGCGCGGCTTGCCCTGAAAGACCCCCCCCCCCCTTGTTAAGACTACTGGGATTCTGGTTATGGTAAATTCGCCAAGTAGAAAATGTTGAGGGGCACCCACGCCTGGGTGCCATTGTCGCCAAAGGGTTAAAGGACATTCTCCGGTTGGATAAATGTCGATCATCCAAAAATGTGCTCAAACATGTCCTAATCAGCCATCAGTGACGAAGGCAAGCAACAGAGCTGATACTCACCCTGAAACTTATGTTGCGCGCTAATAAAAGTGACGGATCTATAGCCTCTACCCCTAGAATCCTGTTGATTAGCCCTCTCCCTGCTGCGGTATATAATCCACGGTAAAACATAGTGAAGAAGTGCGGTTTATTCCCACGGTTCTTAGCAGTTGTTTGTTTGCTTTCATTACTGCTGGATCAGTAACGGCATCTACTTTTATTACTGAACGAAATCGCACAATGTGCCTTCAGAACTTGGACATAATCTGTTTTCAGATCACTTTTTTCGCCGCAGTACTATGCTATTCTGGTCGTAAAGAGGACACTGGAGGGCTTTCATCGTGCTGCTATAAAACCGAGGTAGTTATCCAGCTGGGATTTCCAGGAGAGGGATGGAAACCCTATTACGTTAATCTCTTCTACTGGGTCTCACTATCGAATGAGTTTTTAACTATACAGCATTTTAGTCTCAAGAGGAAAATGGCGCAGATTCAGCGGCAAACAAAGTTGAAGAAATTGAGATCGACGTACAGCATCACTCAAAAGCAGCTAATTGTGAGTACTGAAGATCTCAAGCTGATCCTAGAAGTATTGATCACAAATGTGAATAACCAGTCACTCTACTGAGCAGTCCCTTTTTTCAGTACCATATATGCACAAGTTCTTCGGTGAACGTTTTGCACCGTTCATACTTCGCCGCGATGTTCGTTTCATTAGCTGGATGTTATTCATCGTTTACACCTGTGTTTCACTCTATGGATGCTGCATTCTCAAGGTAACTCATTCCTATTAATATGACAGCTTTGAAATGTGCTTGTACTCTAGAGCACTGGACACAACGTCAGAAACAAGCCTCTCTCCCTCTAGTGTCACGTGCATTTTTTTGACGGCAACGAACACGATGTCTGCAAGGCGGAACGGTTTTGATGGCGTTTTGAGCACCCTTGGCAGGAGGCCAGAGCACTGAGGGAGCGCGGGCACCAATGACCTCATCAAAACCGCTCCGTCCTTCAGCTTGTTTCACATACTGCTTATGCTCTGTTTGAAGAATTTATGGTGAAATTTTCTTCGTTTAGGTTGACATCAGTCCCGTGAAGTACATCAGGGACAATTCTCCAATCCAGACATTCGTCAAACTCGCTGGTAGGTTTCGCTAGCTGTGCATTATGCTATAATTCGAATACCATAGTTTTGTTCATACTCCGTCTAAACTTGTGGCGACATAGTGCTATAAATTCCGTCATCGTCAACCTGTCGCATACCGCTGGTCACTTGGCACAGAAAAGGGTCAAGCACGAGGGCAACGAGTATTGAATAGGAGCCCCCCTTTCCCTCAGCATCACCTGCCAATATCATCTGCCACTACCCTACCTCCCTTAAACTTTTGCGTAGCGCATCGTTTTCTTTGTCTTATCGTGTCATACCAGAGGCGCAGGACGTAAACCAAAAATTCTGAAAAAAAAATAATTTCTCGTTTCCTAGACGGAGATTTGTTGCTTAGGATCCCACTACCTAAATCAGATGAATTTCCTGCATAACAAGCCCTAGGTCATTACAAGCTCAGAACTTCAAAACTTTTTCGATTCCATGAAGATGGCGCGATTGAAAATTTGGAATCATTTTGTAGCGTCTTACTTGCGAGTCCCTTACTGCTACAAAACTTGCACGCCTTTCCTTTTCATCCGAAGACCAATATGGACGCAATAGGTAGCAACCTAGATTTTCTTTTTGATACGAGTGACCAACCCTTTTTGAAGTTTTTTTTATTAGGCTAATGTTCGTCTTAAGTGATATTGGTGTTACTACCACAATGTTGATGCAATGTTTTTGCAATTGAACATGAGATAATATCAACTATATTCTCGAGAGATGCACGCAGACACATAGAGGTAAATCAATGTACGAAATACCTAGTAAACTGTTATTTGTCCACTTATTCATTAGCGCAAAAAATATCGACCAGTGATGGGGGATGGGGGTATGTATCAGGGTGAGGAAAAAGTCGTGATCAAAATCTCATCTTCATTATGTGGGCGACGTCGCCTCAGGTCATATCCGTTAATTTTGTGTAGTAAATGAACACGAACACCTATTACAACCATAACACAACTTCACCGATGGTCTAAATAAAGGTGAATAATGATCGAGAATATTCTCGACTACAGCTCTATCTGAGAACAATGTCGAGAGTGATTGTCGCGGGAGAACACAGAGGGCTCGCGCGTGGCGATAATGAATGTTTGCGCGAGAGAGCGCGTCACTGAACAGGCGAAAATCCTCATCGAGTCGTCGACGAATCCTCGCTTGGGCGGAAGTGGTGTAGTGGCAAGTGGCACGCTTACCACGCGAGCGGTCCGGGGATCAAATCCTGGGTCGTGAGTCGCCCGGGCCAACCAAGCCTTCCATCCCTCCGGGGTCGGTTAATTGGTACCAGACTTGTCTGGGAGGATAAAAACACTGACTTGTACATCGGCTGGCCCCCGCAAGTCATTGTATAGGCCACATCGCATTCAAACGCCACTACGAATGTACAAATGGAAGTAGAATGCGTGCCGCATCCCAAAAAGGGATTGATCAACGGCAAATGCTTTATCCTTTTTATCTTTATGGCTTCACTTAAAAAATTGGGATTATAAAACGCATATTTCTACCCTTAGAGAATTTTTCACTTCTGGAGTCTTTCCAGTCGCGTGTTTCGGCAATAGAAAGAGGAACAGGAACGAACCGTACTCATAAAGTTAGCGAAACCTTCACTAGAGTGAAGCATATTAGACATTTTCATGAACCATGCCGTTTACGAGGGCATGGTTCATGAAAATGTTCACGGGGCGGAAGTGGTGTAGTGGCAAGTGGCACGCTTACCACGCGAGCGGTCCGGGGATCAAATCCTGGGTCGTGAGTCGCCCGGGCCAACCAAGCCTTCCATCCCTCCGGGGTCGGTTAATTGGTACCAGACTTGTCTGGGAGGATAAAAACACTGACTTGTACATCGGCTGGCCCCCGCAAGTCATTGTATAGGCCACATCGCATTCAAACGCCACTACGAATGTACAAATGGAAGTAGAATGCGTGCCGCATCCCAAAAAGGGATTGATCAACGGCAAATGCTTTATCCTTTATCCTTTTATGCCGTTTACGCGGCTAAACACTTTCCTTGTATTATTATATTTTGTGTTGAGGTCGAAAATACCCAGAAAGTTAGGATAAGAACAATGGATGGGCGTATAATTAGTTGGCTATGTGGGCTGCCATCTTCACTCGAGCTACGTCTCTGGTTGCCCATATAGGCTGCCACCGTGTTGCCACCGATTGTGTTGAAGGGCAAAGCTGGCGCTGAAAAGCCTACCACAGCTGAAAATACAAAGAACTTATTGAATAATGCCTGAGCTAAACTTCTTCAAGAAACCCTGCATACCTGTGTTGAAGCGTACCCCAGCACTCAACGCGCCGTAACACGTGCCGCATGCAACATGTGACGATCTACTCCAACTATTTCGTTGCGCTCAAAGTAGAGTAAATAGCTGTGAAGGTCCATCGAATTTCAGTTTCATTGGCGCTTTTGCCATAATTAATTTGTTACCACGTTAACGGCCCCTCACCTGTGAAAATATTGTTCGGCGCTGTCTCTTTGCTACCCCTGTTTGGACTAATTAGGGGTAAATGTGACGTGTGCGCATGTGGAAGTGAAGTGTGAAGTGGAATGATCGCACAGTTCACTAGGATCTTTGTAGTGTTTTGTGTGCAACGAGAGACAGTCCAGTTTCACGAAAACTGGCATCGCTTTCTCGGCGTTTAAGCTGTGGACGTTAAACGGTCGTAAACACATAAAAGAACCCAGCAGTCGGTTTGAAATCCGATCAACGCAATCAGAACATGTGTAACCGTCATGTGGGGGCCAAAGATGATAGTGCTTTTGTTGTGCAGCTGCTTCAAATCTAGCTAAGCCATATGAGTTTCAAACAGAATTCCCTCCCGAATAGTTGGCAAAATCCGTTGTGGATAATGTTGATTTCCAACACTATTTAAAACTGATCAAAAGTTCTTTCTTAAGGAAAGAGAAATTATACTAAGTGGGCCGATTTTGTGTTACTGAGACTTCAACCTATAAGTGCAGCTTCAGACGCTGAGAAGCAGGTGTGGATCGAACATAAGGATGATAGCGGTGCTCAGCAATTATAGCGGTCACGGCGTGCGGCATGTTCACACAGAACAAGTAGATGAAGAGCACGACGTCGAAATCCTCGTGTCCTGACCAGGGTCAGCCAACCATTGTTTCAGTTTCTTCTCACGCCATTTCTCTTAACGCGGCTTCGACACGAACCCCCTTCATCAACATCAGCTATGAAAAAAATTCCCAATAGAGCTATCACATTCCACCGCCACCCTCGTCACCATGGCTAATACTATGAATCGCATTTGGTTCTGACAATGGGATGGATGGAGGGCCAAATATGACCAGGAAACGGCAATTGCTCTGAATTATTTCGCCTCTGTTTCACGCTTTCCTGCCCTTGTCTTTCCGCAAAATCGGTCGAATAACCCGTAACCCCTTTCCCCCAACTTCCACCACGGCTCTCGGAGAATCTCCAGTGCGATCTGCATTACCAGCTCGCATAAAGCAAAATACACCCTTCTCGTTAAAATTCATTTATACAACGCACGGTTGATGTGGTCCTGTCCCCCCACTCCAGTGCTCCTTACTACCACGCTGCATTAATACGGCCATATCTCCTTATACATGAGCAGTCCACTGTCAGATATCAATTATATGCACTCAATATATGGTACCCTAAAATGGTTTACAGACAAATATATCTGGGCCGATAACGTGATGCCATCCTTCCATGTGATGAACCCTCCTGATCTGCGTGATGCTGGCAAACGTGCAAAACTAAACGAGCTCGTCTATCGATTGGAACATACTAATTATTCCATTGGAAGGGTAAGTAAGATTTTGCTATGTTTAGTACCTAAGACCGTCATATCCGCTATTTTCAAGGTGTCGACGAATTTCTGGATGTGGCAATACCAGCAGTATCTCAACGATTTCCCCGATGTTGATTACCAAAAGGACTTCTACAATAGAAAATATTTGAAGAATTTCTTTGATCAGCTCGATTACCAACAATATCGCAGTGAGTAGAAGATTTGTGGTCTTGATTACTGACTGCCAACTATTGAGAAACCTTATTCTATTTAGATAATGTAAAATTCTTCAACAACGTTACCAACGGTGAACCATGCATCAGAGCGTTCACATTTGAAACGTCTTTCTACGGTCTAGACAGTTGGGATAAGCGACAAAGTAAGCAGTTTACCTTGTATGCTCTCTTGTGACATTGAGGATTCGGTATTCGCCGTCTCATGCCATTTTTCAAGGTGGTTTAATGGTTCGAACCGTGCTACCATTATGCCCTGCCAGTCCACTTAAGCTTCCCATTCCCCGGACTCAGTCAGTTGAGAAAGGGCTCTCCTTGAAGATTGAAAATGGTGACTCCTACCTTGTCAAGCTTCGACAGTTATCATGTAAAGCATCATGTTAATAATACATGCTACCTCAATCCTGGATGGAGTTCGACTGTACGGCGCATCTCGAGAAGCGCTCGCGGAATGCTCTACCCCTTACTGTTGCACGGATCCAACAAAGGGTCGTCCTGTATTTTTTTGACAGATGAAAAGAGTTTTTGCCGTTCTGCGGCGGGTTCTGGTACCCCTTACCCTGATAGGTTACGAACAGGTGGGCTGCTCTATCACTCATACATTCCCAATAGTGAATTATGGTATCGTAAAGCAGAGAAATGTGATTCAACGCCCGAACTCTGCACCTTTCTCTTTCAGCTGAACTCTTCCGATGGAGAGCGATCTTGGACGAGTATCCTGAATTCGACTTGTTCCTTGCAAATATTTTCAGGTAATATTGAAATTTTCATGTATACATAGATCAAAGACACATGCCATTAAAAGCTGTTCCCTGTTGCCCTCTAAAGTGAATGTACTCGTGTCGTGTTGGAGAAGTTCGCGCTCTATCTCAGCGAGACTCTCATTGGTCCGTCCGTGCTCTTGATACGGTTACCCACGGTAGTACAGTAAGTAAGCGGAACCGTCCAATGAGACTTCCGTAGGGGCGGGGCGCGAACACCGCCCATATGATCAGCACAGGTGTTCTTATGATATTTCTAAGGTTCCTCATGCTTTCTATTGGTACGGGTGCACAAGCCACCACATACTTTCATTTTCGGGCGTAACATCTCACCACTAATTGATCGCTGAATGCGTATATAGTTTGATTCCGTCCTCTTTAGAAAAAACCCCTCACTAGGCGCTGAGAAAGTGGAGGACAATTTCTTATGATGCCTTTCAATGTCAACCAATGAACAACGACTGTCGAAACTTCAAAAAATTCTATTTTTGACCTGACGCGGTCGATATAATGCTTCTCTCCAGTTCACACAATAGACGCAAAAGCAGCTCGGGGACACGACAGTGTCGTGATTTATTGAAGGTTGGAGATGTTAATTGGGAACCTAAAATTCCTAGATATGGCGGGTCAGAAATCTCGAAAAGACACGGAAGGAAATTGAGCATAGTAACATTTGAGCGCTAAAAAAAGTGATTCGCTGGATCTTACCAGATGCTTACAACTTCCCAGAAACTCTGGGTGGAAGCCAAGATAAATTGATGGGGCCAGGACATAGGTTACAAGTATGAAGATTGAAACTGCTTTAAAAACTCTCCGAACAAGTAGTCAGCGGTAATGTTGGCAACAGTAGCTAAAAAGCAAGTTGTGGTGGCGCTAGGTGGCCTCTGTGTCAAAATGAATGATGGTTGAGTAATTGGTACCAATTTCAGTCCATTCCTCATCGATCAACGGCACACTATTGCTCCATCGTCAATGCAAACCATCGGAGCAGCGCTGGCCATGATGGCCCTCATTTCATTCTTCTTTTTGCCGGATGCGGTGAGTACCGCTGTTGCCATATCTGCGGACCACACGCTACGGCGCGCATGAAACGGAAGGTTCGGATAAAACAGGACAGCCGATAAAGCGTTAGATTCACCGCTAAACATTGAGTTGCTTCGTAAATGCGTTAGCTGACCGCTCCATAGGCTGCCCATCTTTGCAGAAGCTCACCGTTTGATACGCGCAGTGGAGTGCGGAGCTAAAGTGGTGTCTGTAAACAACCACCATGCATCGAATGTCAGTGTAATTTAGCGGTCGGATTGTGTGTGTGATGTTGAAATATAAACATCCAGCACTCGTTATCGTATTTTGAACTTACACCATACATTTTTAGGAACTCTGGGGGGCATAGCGGTTTAGTGGTATTTCGGGCTGATGATAACAACGCAAATGAAAGAATATTGAAATGAAATGCTTTATCTAAAGTCTGGTTTTGAGTGACCTCTATATTCTTGCGCATATCGTTATCGGCCCTTATCAGCCGTTATCGCTTTCTTCCCCACCATATATGTTCCCGTCCCACCCTCTACATCACTTCTTGGAACCAACGCCTCACTGATGCTGGGACGCGCGCTATGGATATCGTGGAATTGGCGTTTTGGCGCCTCTTATCGGATCTTATCAGTCGTTATCACTTTGGTCCCCCACCAAATATGTTCCCGTCCCACCCCTACAACATACTCAAAATACAGCGCTCCACTGTTGCAGCGAAGCGCGCTATGAATTTCGTGACAAACAGACGTACACACACACACAGACATACTTAGCGAATTATATATATAGTAGGATACTGCTTGGAGGCAAAACAGGCGTTAAGCTAATGTCATTGAAAAGTAAATGCGGAGGTGTCAAATAGTGTGTGCGTGAACAAAATTACCATGTGGGGTACTCAAAAAATGGCACCTTCTTCTTTCCTGTTGATTTTGATTTTGGACTGGTTGGCCACGGCTTTGGTGCTTCAGTAGCCGTTGCAACGGCTTGTCATTTGTGATCGCACCATAGGTAGCTATTTCATTTGTTATCGTAATAAGAAAAGCACTCCTACTGTGCACAAGAATCGTCCGCACCCGAAAGCAAAGGCTGGAACTAGTAAGGTATCGAGGCAAAGCTGCTTGACATGAAAAGTGCTCCTCAAAAGAAGATCACGTAACACTTTCGGGGATTTCTATTTCTTTCTATTTCTGAATCCCGTTGACCTCCATTTTGCACCTCATAACCTTGTTGATGGAGCGTGTTTTGTAGCAAAAGCGCAACATATCGTCTGGGCGGACCCTTCAATCCTTTCCACTACCCATCTTTCGTCTCTATGAATATCACTTTCATGGCATATTTTGTCTTTAAGAATCAGTCCTTCATGGACATATTTTCTGATTAGAAGTGTTGAGTATTTCTTCTGAATACCTTTTTTGTTAAGTTGTGTCACAAAGCAGTTCTACAAGGACTTATTTTCAGCAGTCAGTCTTCCTCATGACATGGTCGCTGTTGTCCATTTCAATGGGTGTATGTGGAGGATTAGCAATGCTCGGCTCTGATCTCGATTCCGTCAGGTGCGAAACTGCTAGGGAAGATTCGTTTCAAACAAATCCTGCAAATGTGTTTTCAGTATGGGATGCATCGTCATGGCTATCGGACTGGCTGTTGACTACTCTGTACATATTTGCTACCGTTATCATCGCTCCGAATATACGAAATCGGCGGAAAAGGTGGGCCTTTGGGCATGCTTTCGCCTCATCCTAATGATATTGCCTAATTTTTGCTATTTCTTCTATATCTAACATCTCTGTTCCAGGTCCGGGACACCTTGTGCTCAGTAGGCTGGCCGATCACGCAGGCAGTGTCGTCAACTCTGTTCGGCCTTGCCACCACAGCGTTCGTCCCAGCTTACCTAGTCAGAGTGTTCTTCCAGACCGTATATTTAGTCAACTGTATAGGTGCGAGTTTTATTCTATTAAAAATTGTTTTTATACGGTACCAAGGGCAAATGGTATGTTCCGTGAAATTCTCGTTTTTGAATAAGCCATGCAACTGTCTACCTCACACACATTATGAGTGTCCATTTTCTCCACCTCTCGTCTCTTCTAGTCAATCTTACTTATCCCCTTCCAAAAAGTGAACTCTTCCCTGACCAGTGGCGGTCCATCATCTACTGAATCTTTCAAACCCATGTGGTGCTACAACAGCGCACTTCTTCAACATTTAAGAATTCTTTCAATGACGTTGAAAAGCAACTGCACTATTTTGTTCTAGGATGCGTGGCTGGTTTTGTTTTCGTTTTAGCATGTCGCATGCGACCTTATAATCACTGTTCCAAACACGTTACCTTCCCTTGGTCGCCCGATCACTGATAGGTCTCCCGTCCACTCTATTTCTACATCTGCTTATTTTGGAAGGTCATAATCCCATCCCATGAGGGCGGAAGTGGTGTAGTGGCAAGTGGCACGCTTACCACGCGAGCGGTCCGGGGATCAAATCCTGGGTCGTGAGTCGCCCGGGCCAACCAAGCCTTCCATCCCTCCGGGGTCGGTTAATTGGTACCAGACTTGTCTGGGAGGATAAAAACACTGACTTGTACATCGGCTGGCCCCCGCAAGTCATTGTATAGGCCACATCGCATTCAAACGCCACTACGAATGTACAAATGGAAGTAGAATGCGTGCCGCATCCCAAAAAGGGATTGATCAACGGCAAATGCTTTATCCTTATCCTTCCACCAAGCCTTCCATCCCTCCAGGGTCGGTTAATTGGTAAAAACACTGACTTGTACATCGGCTGGCCCCCGCAAGTCATTGTATAGGCCACATCGCATTCAAACGCCACTACGAATGTACAAATGGAAGTAGAATGCGTGCCGCATCCCAAAAAGGGATTGATCAACGGCAAATGCTTTATCCTTTTATGTGAATAAGAGTGTGCAGATTGCGGCATCACTCACACTGCACAGTTGTCGCAAAGAAAACACGCCATCACCGCCGCCGTGCGCGAACTCATCCAGCGCTGCATTTCTGATGTCCTGACTCACACCTTTTCGTGGGCTGAGCACTTTGCGGGTGCCTCCGCCGTTTTTTGGTCAAGTTGTATTCTATGCGTATACAATCTCTTATTAAAGGAATCTTCCGCGGAAAAAGCTCCGCCTCCATTACCACAGAAAAACGATACCCCTTAGGCCCCTAGCCTCATGAGCATAGCAAAAAGAACGGAACATAAGCGTTAGTTTCGATAATACTAATCCTACACTCCTTCAAGGTATCATTTTTGTGGTAATGGGGCGGAAATTTTTCGTGGAAGATTCCTTTAAGCCGTTATTGGAGTCGAACTCCAAGCACATAGACTGTGTCAAGCACGTTATTAGAGGAGATGAATGTGGCCGTATCATAGGCGCTTTCGGAGTGTACAACTATTGATCGTCATTTCCTTCCCATTTGAAGTTCTCTTGATACCTGCAATCATTTTAGGTTTGACTCATGCACTCGTTTGGTTGCCGCAACTGGTTGCAGCACTCGATCCTTGCGAACGAGTACCGCTGAGGTTACGGTTGAAGAAGAATTAGGGCAGCACTGATAAGGAGTTCTTCCCCGCTACACTGCATCTTCAATGCCTTACTTTCTTCCACACGCTGGTGCAATACTGGTTATGCCTCCCGTCATCGATAGAGCTGTGATCAAGATTTCTCCGTTATTCGACCCAGAATCATATGTGATTCATGTTCTCGCTCAGAAGTTTCTCGATATGATAGGTACAAGCTGAAAGCTCATTCCACTGAATGATCTGATGTATTGATTGAACTGTTGTCAGAATTTATGCTCTTTAAATCTAGGTAATCCATTGCCTTACTAGTATTTATTTATTTTTATTTCACCATATCAACAATTACGAATAAACATCTGAATCAGATCACTTATTCACACGCACAGTGTAAGTATTGTACCAGTTTGAGAACTACTCAATAATGTGCTTCAATTGATGCAAAGTCCCGTTGAGACTTCGCATCTATAGCCATCTCCACATTCAGAGCACGTAGGCCCAGATTTGTAAATCTCCTCATTGAACCAATTTCCGCTGAAAATTTGGCACTCTTATTTTAATAATAGTGAACAGAAGCCAGAAATTTTAGTACAATATCAGAGTCCGCCGACCAGCGATTGGACGACGTGAATTTGGCTCCGCCCAATCCAGAGCATTCCTCCAGAACAAATGATGCGCTGTCAGACCAATGGTCACTTCCCACTAAATGGAAAACTCACGTATCACGATAGTGGCACACCGCAAGGATGATTTGACGGGAGCCGTCAAAACACTGTGCCACTCCGCAACCAATCGTTGACGTTTTCCACCAGGCCATCTGAGAGATTTCATTAAAACGCTTCGTAGAAAAATTTATATAAAACAAACTTGTAATTTATGTGCGGACAAATTTGAGCACCAACAAAAAACTGATATTCTCTGCAAAAATGTTGATATGTGAACACGATCTACAGATCATGTCCATGTGCTATCTCGGGCTCATCAGCTATGCTAGAATTCAAAGGCACGGGTCGAGATCGAGCTGATGCTTTATTTCGCTCGAAAGACAAGAATTTTTGACAAGCATGAGGAACGCTAATGGGAATATAAAGCAAAAGAGGCATAGCAAACTCTGATTCTTTGAAAAGGAGAGGAGAATGCAAGAGCATGTCATACGCGACAGGGCGCAAACGCCACGAGCTGCGATTGATAAGAGTGGCAGCACGGGAACACACAAGGTAAGGCCTCGACGCCTTTTCTTCTCATTTTTGAGTCGCAGCTGTCTGGCACCTCCTGCGCTTGGGGACCTCTTTCTCGCTCTAAGAGGGACTACTTCTTGAGTACTTGATCCCGATCCCTAGCTAAAAACGCTTAATGCTCCGGTCCGATGATTGGTGGGTACAGTGTCAACAACGGATTACTTAATTTTCACTACACCCTGTCAAGGGAGTATAGGCACGGCTCCTCCCCATCCTTCATATCCCCGCATCCACTGGCACGTCACTACCACGGCTGTTGACCAGTCAACATACTCCAACTCTAACTCTGACTTTCCTAGTGAACTGCATTCAAGCTTCAGAGTAGGGAGCAAGCATTGAATTCATGACACAAGTCGCGGTCGATTTGGCGTGTTATTTTGTTAGAAAATTGGCAAGAACTGCAAAGAGGAACGCCAGTGAAAAAGCCAAAAAAACATTCCTTAGGGAGGACGAACCCAAACCGATCGTCTTCCTCAAAACCTGACCTTGCTCCAAAGTTCATGCAACTGAATTCTCCATCCTACTATCGCAATATCTCTTCTGCAATAGCGTTTCTGACTGGAAAAAAAAAAAACCCAATTTGAAAAATCATTCGAAAAACGAAGAACGATTGCATAAAACTCATCAACCCGCTCCCGAAGTGCAAAACACGAAAGTTGTGATGGTAAAAGTAATGAATCTATACTGTACGTCTCAATTCCACAGTCAGAAGCTCGCCATGTGGTGCAAACGTGCAAACGGCAAGAGATCATTGGTAGAGGATAATTACTAGTTGCGTTTGTTCATTCTAACCATAAGATTTCTTGGAGTGTATCCAGAATGCCTCGAGTGCTTTCCTCACTGAGAACTCGGTCTCGTACGTCAGAGTTTTGCACTTTCATCAAAATCATGCCCGTGGTTCTCTTCATGCAAACGCTTGTCGAGCAGGTTGCTTTATTGCTACTCCTCTTCATGGTGTTCATTATGTATTGCCAGGCCAACGAATGTTGTGGTTGCTGTGCAACCTGACGTTTTCAATCGCTGCCTGCACGCCACTCTAGGCCCTTATCTCCACACTAAACCGGTAGACGCAGTGATCTGGTATGGGGGCAGTCTATTGTCTTGGAACTTCGATATAATATATATATATATATATATATATATATATATATATATATATATATATATATATATATATATATATATATATATATATATATATATATATATATATATATATATATATATATATATATATATATATATATATATATATATATATATATATATATATATATATATATATATATATATATATATATATATATATATATATATATATATATATTATATATACCAGTTGGCGCCGCACGCATTGCGCGCGCAACACAGATCTGCTGCGAACTTTGATGGTGCGACAAAAATTTTCATATTTGGCTTGATACACTACGAATATCTGAATCCTCAGCTAAATTCAATCCGCTCCATCATCGACGGCTTTCAACCTTTTTTCTTCGTCAACCATTATCCTCTTTTTCTCGGTCTCCGGACTGCTTCCGGACAATAAATCTCGTGGCAAACTCCGCCTACTTCGGTGCGTGCCCCGCCCACCAATAGCATTTGGCCCCCTTCCTTTCGCCGACCTCTACCCTTTTTTCACCGGTCTCTCTCTTGGAACCAAATTACGACACTTTTGGCAAACTCCGCCCAATTATGTGCATGCTCGCCAGACTAATGGCAGTTGAACTTTTTTCACTTCTGCCGGGCCTCCTACTATCGGACAGTTCGTCGAAAATCGCGTACCCATTGTGTGCGCGCCTCCGGAAATTGTTGGAGCGAGTTTTTATACATATTTCGTCTACAACTTACGCCCACTTTTGGCCAAATCCCTCGGCCGCCCACTAATCACGCAGTTAACCTCCACTCCTCCACCCACCTCTATCCACCTTTTTCCCGGCCTCCGGGACTTCTTGGAGCCGAGTTATATAATTTTCGTCGCAAACTCCGCCCACTTTGGTCAAGCCCCGCCCACCATGACAGCTGGCCTCCACTCCTCCATACCACCTCTATCCACCTTTTCCCCAGCCTCCGGAGCTTCATGGAGCCGAGTTATGAATTTCCGTCGCAAACTCCGTCCCACTTTGATCAAGCCCAACAGCATCCCGCATGATTGACAGCTGCCTGCCAACCTCCTCCACCCATCCATTTCTCCGTTCCACGCCTTTTTGCCCGGCCTCCGAGGGTGACTATGCTTGGAGCCGAGTTTTAAAATTTACGTCGCGAGATAATCCGCCCACTTCGCCAACGCTCCACCGCACGCACGCTTGACAGCTGGCCTCCACTCCTCCATACACCTCCACCTCTATCCACCTTTTTCCGGCTCTTTAAGACTTCCCCGACCCGAATTATGAGGGCTTGTAGAAAATGCTGTACACTTCAGAGCGCGCCCCGCCCATTCTGGGCGGGCCTCCGCCCACGTCATGTATGCAGGAAACACCTTAGACATTGCTCCCTTACACCAAATTGTTTTCTGCTCTGTAGGCTTTCTCCCAACCGAGTTATGAAATTTTTCATAAAGCACTGCTTTTTTGGAGAACGCCCCGCCCACCGGGGGTGGGTCTCCCTAATTCGATGTGACTTACCAATGCACACCTTTACCCACTTTTTGGCCCAGTTTCGAGGTCGTTTTGTTGCGTCACTCGAAATAACAGCAAAATCCTTGGTCTTTCCTCGGTACATTCATTTTCGAGCAAGCCATCGACCTCATGGTCGTCGGGGCTTCCGTCTTAAGCTGATGTCTGTTTGTTTGACTTATGATGAGACTCTGCCCACCCATCCCACACTTGACCCGTTCCCTCCAGATGGATCCCGAGGAGCTAGGGAATTTCGTGACAGACATACAGAACGACACACGACACACGACACACGACAGACGAAGCGCTTTATAGTAAGTTAGGATATATATATTATATATATATATAATTATATATATATATATATATATATATATATATATATATATATATATATATATATATATATATATATATATATATATATATATATATATATATATATATATATATATATATATATATATATATATATATATATATATATATATATATATATATATATATATATATACAGGGGTGGCCAAAAAAAAGAGACACTCAGCCCATGGCGCACATCATCGAACTTTTCGTCACACAGGGAGCCGATGTTAATGAAAGTTTTATGGCGTTATATTCCTTAGTTGTTCCTCCGTAAACAGAAGCAAGCACTCCTTCATTGCCCCTGCCGTCCTCCGATATCAATTAGTCATCTTGCCGTCACCGTACGAGCTCAAACGAGGCTTACCGAAATCGCTCCGACCTGAAGCTGCTACACAATTTCCTCAGTGAATTAATTGTTGAATAGCTTTCCAGAGACATTAGCTGTGAACGTGCAAAACCGCTTTTGACCTGCGTTTCAGAGACGTCGTAATCGTCTATGGTATCTCGAAGGCCTCGTTGAGCTCGTACCGTGCACAATGCTTCAGAGGGAAAATCTTCTGATGTCGTCGGTGTAGAAGGCTTTTGGGTAGCTTATTGAAAGATTATAACGTGGTCTTCAATATTCAGTTGGGGCCATTTGGTTTGGTTCCGCGACGAGTGAATAATTCCGTTTTGAATGTTGGGTGAAGTGTCTCTTTTTTTTTGGCCACCCCTGTATAT